TTCATTTTTTTCGTCGCAGGCAGCCCTTTGCTGTTCTTTGCTTGATGATACGAACCAACGTTTAAAACGCTGACGATGATTGTATTTAAGGAATCGAGACGACTGAAGATACGATGCACTTTACTTCGTCGTTAACATTTGAATGTATTGACATCGAATTTTCTCTGGGCTTCAAAACGCTGCCGCTGTTATTTCAGTTTTGTTCAGCTGTGCACCTTAAGTGTGTAATCGATTATCATTGCTCAGCTTAGTTGTTAAAGTGATCCGTTATTCGTTATTATCTGATGAGTGAACTCACGAAACTACAGAATTCAGCTACTGAGGAAGAAATAAGCGTAAAGTTAGATTGAAAATTTGATAGGCTAGATTTATTCACGTTTGCACCATCAATGTTGCGAAAACAATGTTGTTGTTTTTCTTTCCCACAGTTCGTCCATCAACCATGATAGTTGTTTCGCTAACCTCACAATGAGTTGCTAACCTCTGTTCGAAAGATAGATGACAAGATGAAACAATTTGCCCACTGCCTTTTTGCAGGTTAATACGATTGTTAACTGTCAGTCTTTTCTTTTCCGCGTTTTGACCAGAAGATGCCATTTTTGTGCAGAATTGCGTCAAGGGAATTAAGCAGCTACGCTGTCGTCAGTTGATATCACTGACTTTTGTTGTTTGCCGCTTTCTACGACGAGGATGAAAGTTTGGAATCGTTTAAATGTCGCTCTTCCACACACTTTCACAACTGGGCCATTTCTGATGCATTTCTTATCATAAAGTTAATGATGAGGTTCTGATTTCCATTTACATGCCCACCAGTAGTGCCTTATTTTAATGACAGAGTTCGACAGCAGCTACTACAAGTTAGTTCTTGGTCTCCTATTTCCTTTCCGCATACTGTATACTCATTTAAATAAGAAAGACGAAATTAAATTTAACGGAAATAAGATATGTGAATGACTTGACCGGGCTGTAATCCGGATACGAGTACGACGTTCCACTGACAGCATAACCCAGCCGATGAAGGGGTCCGAAAAGTGAATTAGGTTTTGATTTACATTTTGTCTCTGTGACAAATGTGCTAATTGATTATTTCCAAAAGGCTGACGGGCCCGTTTCAGCTGAAAACAGACAGTTCTTGTTTTCTTTGACTTGTCAGCTTTTTGCAGTGCTTGCACACTGTGAATTTCTTCCATCTTTAGTCTAATTTCAGTTACCAATTTAAGTTAATAGTCACATTAGTTGTCTGAAAATATATCCAAATGCAGTTTATTGAATACAAGGCAATACTGTTCATTTACCATCACGATGAACTGCCTCCAAACTTTCATCGATGAGAGATGATCCCTCTAGCAAACAGTGACAGATGTAGATTGCAACAAATTTTATTTTGACCCCAGTTTGTGATACTAATTGCATTGAAAACTTAACAGCGTCGTATCGTTCCGCTAAGCCGTTGCAGTTCGTTGAGAAAAAAGCGGCAAAAGACAGCATGTATTTGTGTACAACGTAATACGCATGATCTGTCTTATGGTAGACCAATGGTGCCGACGTTTAAGCCCCTCTCTCGCCCTCCTTTAGTATAACAGCGTGTTGTTCGATTGTTTTTTGAGATTGTTTGCTGCAACTAGAGCGTTTTAAGCTAAACAGTGAGCTGTTAGTCCCTTCTACCGCTTAGGCAGTAATATAGTTGTATTTCAAAGGAAATTGGCTATTTGTTTTGCGTCGGTGGTCATACTAAAAACTTTTGCACAGCGTAAACATGTGGTCAGTTGGTTGCTTCATGCATGTTTTATCTGTTGTCTGTTTTCAGTTTCCACATTCAATGAATCGTTTACTGCGATGTGGCAAGCACGTTTTATAGTTCGGTGTTTTCCCTTACCATGCATTGAAATTCAGGTGTCGCAGTCGTTCTGTTTTACTTAGAAAGCTGAACCATACCTTTTCGATCTGTCTGTCTTCAGAATAATAAGTGAAAACTCTCAACATTGCTTTGAAGATCTGCTAAGAACGACTGGAAACATCAGTTTTGTAAGTAAAATTAGTATTTATGGTTTTCCTTATGCCGCCACCTCAGGATTCCCTGGTATCTAATAGTCTAGAGGACCATTTAGGCAGGTTACGGCTCCATGGTATTTGAGTGAACACTTGCAGTGCAGGGACGCAATACGTCACTTCTTGTAGCGTTTCACTTTGCTAATAAAGTTTACTAACAAAGCCATAATGCCGGGGTTTATTTTTGGTTATGATATTCCTGTTTGTTACATGATAAATGACATAAATTTGTCAGTTCATAGTATGATTGATGAATTGCATGGAAAATTTGATGAACTGAACTACTGTTTAAAGCTGATTTTTTAAGTGAGGAAAAAATGGCGAAATTAAGGCAAAGTCCAACGAGGTTGGAAGACGGTAATGTAATCTCCTTTCTGAAGATCTGATCAATTTTACTTGGTGGATTGAGCGCTTGACTCGCGGTTGAAAGATCATTGATTGAAACCGAATTCAAGTTGTTCATGTTTCATTTTTCGAGGTAGATAAACAGGAACATTGACGGGAAGAAAGTAGGAAACTACACGCTGTAGTATTCTCTGTTCATTCTCCGGATGTACGTGGCATGTTTACACCGTCTCCTTGTTTCTAGTAGTCTAGAGAACCGTCTAAGAAGGCCAGGCATGGATACAGTACCGCATCATTGAGCAGGGCCGAACAAAAACATGTGCTTATTGATGCGGTTTTGCATCCTTGCACTTCAGGTGCTAAAATACTATGGCGCCAATGGCGCCATGACCTGCTTAAGCGGTCCTCTACGCCGTTAGAAGCAAGAGAACGGTGCACCTACGCCCTGTAAATCCGGAGAATTAACACAGAATGTTATTTTCTTACTGGCGGTATCGAGAACTAGCAGTTTGCTAGTACAGTCTTGAGACCGTTGTTTATTTTAATGTATACGCCATAGTGATAACAAAGGAAATATTGTCCTTGAAAGAGTACAGCGCTTCTGTCTGACGTCCTTGAAACAGAAATCAGTGCCTCAATATAACTTCACTGTAGCAACGCAGTCACAAATACCATTCATCATTTTCAAACGAGACGCTTCTTGAAAGTTATAAACTGTCCTGTTCGTTTATCAACATGAATAACGCTTGCATTCTTTTGTAGGGCATCGTACCATGTTGTTTTGCAGACTGATATTTAGACATTCCATTTCTAGAGAATTTATTTTCCGGAACAAAGCTGTAACTACAGAAAATTGCATTAGCTTAAGTACTTGACAGGCATCGACGAACGAGAATGTTCTCTCTGCGTCTTTGGCCTCCTTTGGCTGGGTTAATGCGGTCCTAAATATCTACTGTTATTTGCTCTATTAAATACGTAAGCATTTAGTTGCTCATTTTTCTGACTACAAAAATTTCACAGCTATTTTTATTTTCCTGTTCACGTTTGCTTGTTTGGTCGAGTGGGTTATCTCCCCGTTTTCGACCAGTTAGCGGAATTTTGATTATGGAATGCTCAGAATTACAATGACATCGTTTGATGCAACGTACCGTGTATCAGTGGAATCGTTGGAAGCGGATGATCTTGAAATTAAATTAGCCTAAGGTTAAACGAACATCCTAATTGGTTTGCGGCTCAGATTTTCTTTACCCTTTTGCGCAGAATTGTTCCTTAAAAGATGCACTGACTTTTTTCAAACAGTACAATGAAATTCACGACTGCCATCGAACAGTGCAAAGCTAGTAAAACTTTTTATTGTTGCTTTCATTGAAATTAGTTTCAGGCATTATGCATGATGGCTCCAGAGGATTGATTCCCTTAAATGACAGTGATATCCAGTGTAGCAAACGCTACTACAGAAATACAGTACAGTACTATATTGTAATTTTTAAAACAGACAGATTTTGGCTGAGTAAATGTTAAGTGAAGATACTTAACGAACGGTTCGCTTTGCGTTAACCCTTGTCCCATTAAAGAGTATAATGAGTAATAAATAGGGTTAGATTCAGAACAATCGTTCATTATACGGAGTTGTTATATATTGCTTCTCGTCTTTTCATCCAAATTAGTTTCAGAAAGACGGCTATTTATAAAGTAAACTGTTTAAAGCAGTTTACTAAAAAACCTATAAGATAGATATTCCTTTTTGTGTTAACGGTTTGAAATTTTACTATTGTAGCGAAATCTCTAAAACTAGCTGTTTTTTACCACAGGCATAGTGGCATGTAAAAAAAATGTCAAATGACGAAATAAAAATATATGCTAAAAGCCGCATTTTCTGAATTGTCACGGTCAAGATGCGAGAATGGCACAGTTGCAACCTATATGGTATCTATCAATATTGCGTACTTAAAATGAACATAAAACGAGAAGTATAAACCCTAAACAAAACAATAAATGGGAAATAGAATTTAACAAGAACAGAAATGCAGCAAAGAGCAACAGAAACAACCCGCAACAGTTCTTACGGTACGAAAGTATTAAGGTGTATTCGTCTGCAGTTATCAAGATCTTTGAGAATACATACTTAGGCAGGCATTACCGTTGTTCGGTAAAGCTGACTACTTGCACGTACTGTGCTCCTGTATTCAGGCTTTTTGCTGGTATCACTGTAGGCAGTGCGAAGTGTCCGTCCGGTGAGTGAGTGCTGCTGTTGAGGGTGTTATTAGCCGCATGAGTTCCATTTGTTTCGAATCAACGACGTTTCAAATTGAGCTGTTCAGAGGCAGCCTACTTAGCCTGTATATCTGTTACGGGATCTCTTTCAAGAACAGGGAAAACTATGACCGATGCCTATGTTAGAAAATCAGTACTTTATTATATGCTTTGCGGAATTTCAGTTTTCTAATCCTATATTGATGACAGTTGGTTTCGGTTTTTCTCAAGGTCAGGGTAACTCTGAATTGCTAGTGTTGATTGTCCTTTCGCTGCCATCAATCTTTTGTTGCTTCTTATAGAAGTAAGGTATGTTTATTGATCTTTCCTTATCCATTCGTACCTTTCGTTGTTTGACATCATATGACGTGTGGCGTTTAGGGGTGTATGGTGACGTGCATCGCGTTAAGGTCCTTTTCAACAAAAAAGACAACGCGCTGATTCAGTACGCTGAACCGCCTCAAGCACAGCTAGGTACTTTCTTTATGGTTCGTCGTACACTTTCGCAAAAATTTTGTTATTTCTTGATTTGCAGCCATTCAGTACTTGGATAAGCTGAAGCTGTGGGATAAAGTCATCCGCGTCACCAGTTCAAAGCATATGAATGTGCAGATGCCTAAAGAAGGCCAACCGGTAGGCGGTCGACTGTTAAAAATTTTCGATTCGTTGTTTTGTAAATCATTCACCCATTTGTTAACTTCAGGACGCAGGTTTGACTAAAGATTTTTACCAATCACCGTTGCATCGCTTCAAAAAGCCTGGTAGCAAAAATTACTTGAACATTTATCCGCCATCATCGACGCTCCATCTCTCGAACATAGCGTAAGTGACAGTTGGTGGCATCGTTGAATTTTTATGTAACACGTGGAACGTCTTTTAGTCCTTCAGTCACTGAAGAGTTTCTTACTGAGGCCTTTATGGAAAAAGGCTTCAAAGTGCGGGGATTCAAGTTCTTCCCGAAAGATCATAAAATGGCGTTGGTGCAGTTGGACTCGATTGGAGATGCAGTTTTGGCTCTTATAGTATTAATGTCTTCTTATTTACTTAATTTATTGAGTATGACTTTCTGTTTCTTTGGATGTTTTACTTCTGACGGTGTTGAGGACAGAATTTGTTCCATTTGATCACATATTCAGAGTGATGGCGACATAATGGTTTGTTTTCGACTGTTTTTGTTTACCTGCGGAGCAAGGAAACGCCCCGTGTTATGTAACTCTCGTATAAGTACTATTCCTGGTGAACTACTTCTTTATCGACACGTTGGAAATATTGTCCAAACGGTCATATGCATTTCGGGCAGTCATTGAGTGGCAATCGGCATCCGTTGCATACGAAATGTTTTGAAGGGCTCGTCGTGTCATCGGAGGACCTTGATTGCATACAACGCCGTACGGGTAAGAACTGAACTTTGACGCTGCTCAATCCTGTCATTTTCTTTCCAGTATTCAGAGACGCCCTGAAGGACGAAAAGCGCTCATTTTAAATAATTCTAACATTTGGCCTTAACTTCATAGCACTCTGTATGCGTGTTCGGCGCACTTCAATATGGTTTCTGTTGTTGACAACAGATTAACCCTTGATTGACTGACTGATAATATCCGATTAGGCTAAGATTACGAAACAGAATTTTTCAGCTATGGCGTGAATTATGTTACATTCGTTTCATTATCATACGTCAGTCGTTCAGTCGAGCCACGAAATTGTGGAAAGAGTTCAACTTGCTCCACTCAGAGGTTAGTTTAAACACTGTTCCCAAATTTTGTCATCCAGGTTCATAGTCAGTGGTTTCAGTGCTTACTGTTGTAATAACATCACTGAAGAATCTTGTTTGTTTTTCAGCACAGTTGGATATTCAGTGGCTGATAATAGATGGGCTCTACTTAAGCCATCTTCGGTTTGCAGACTGTATTTTGATCCCCTCAAGGTAGCCGGAAGAACTCCAAAGAAGAGCCCAAGAATTGAACGACGCCTGTATGAGCATGAAAGTGGGATTTACAGTGAACTTGCAGAAGACTTTCTCGTCTTGTTTAACAAATAGGTGATCCAGCGATCTCTTGAAGTCAGTGAACTTAGGCAAGAAGAAGTACATAACTACGTCTCTCTGGAACAGCTCATCTTTGCAGTGAAGAACTGACTCGACAAGGTGAACAGATATATAAAAATGGCATGAAAACTTTTGAAAGAGCAATTGCCTACGTGACTGACGAACGAAATGTATTCGATCATTGTATACTCCCATGCTAGCCTGCGAAACGTGGCTTCTGTACCTGGAAGCTTTTCATAAACTGCAGAAAACGCAACGTAGCATGAAAGGATGTATGTTCTGAATATCAAGGAAAGATAGGAACACGAACGAATGGATATGGACAAAAGCAAGAGTCTGCATTGTGATTCACCCAGTGATGAAGTTAAAGCGTCAGGTAGCTTTACACGTTACAAGATGAGTTGATCGTCCCTGGACCAGACCTACGTTGTGGTGGGTTGCAAGAGAGACTGCAAACTGCCCTTAGGAAGACCCGCATATCGATGTTAAATTAATATGGATAAGAATTGCAGAAAATTGAACTTTGTGGCAAAGGCATGGAGAGGCCTTCATCCCGAAATCGATCGAAAAGGTTGATGATGATTTGAAACAATGCGCAAATTAAGAGAAAAAAAATAGCGGCTGCGCTGAAACATGCAAAGCAATCTTCATGCTGAACTATGGAAAAAGTCGTATCCGAATCTGTTCATGATCTCATCAGAAACAGTATTCAAAACAACATAATATTGCATAGAATTGGGCCTATTTTGAAAACATAATTTTACTGATTTTCATTAGCCTTTCAGAATCAGTGACCCGGAGTAGAAACGGAAGGTTGACGATTTAGAAGAATGTGCTTGAAAGAAATGCGTCTCAACAGGGGATAGAATCGACTTGGCTTGTTTGGTTTTGGGAGCATGCCTCTTAAATTGTGACACCATCGCCACCTCAGTATCGTCGTCAGATGATACTTTCTTAGCCAACCTCGCTAATGGTCCAATCGCCGTGGCATTGTCCGCGACTTCTGATTTGTCATATTGTCTGTTTCGCAGTTGACCGATATCTGAGGCTCTTCTACTGTCCGCACCCCGTCAGTGCTCTCGGTTGCACAGTTTTGCCTCAACGAAGAGTCTAACCGTGACTTGTGCCTTTTTAGTAAACAGATGTTCTTTGCAGGCATCAAAAGCCCCTGATTACCTCTATCTCGTTAACTACCATTTATGGTAATTCTCTAGCAACCGATTTATTAAATAAGCCCAATTGTTTCAAAAAGTTTGTCACATGCTTGCAGTAGAACTGTTAAAGTCATGCTTGGCTTATTGTACGCTACGCTGTCTGATGCAGTATTTTGTTGTGATGCATGAAGGTTTGTTTCACTCTGTTATTGACTGGTTTTCTAGCGATTGCATGTAAGCATAAGCTATATTATGAGCTTGATGTACATTTTTTATAGTATGATTTCATGTTTACGTTTATTTATCCTTTACGCTTGTTTAATAGTCTGGGAAATTATTTATCAACAGCTTATTCAGCATTAAGCGGTATTTTTTCCAAGCACAACTAAAAAACAAACAGCCTTCTATTGTTTGGAAGGTTCCAGTAATAAGAAATAGATTTCCTCAGCTTTGAACTCGTTTGTCCGTTTCTTAAGTATCTTGATGTGGATTCGTATTGAATATGTTTCAAACTAACCGTTTTTCCTTTGTAGGAAATGCATAACTATAAACTAGCAGAGAACGCGCATTTACGAGTGTCATTTTCAAAAAGCGGAATATGATCTGAAGAGGCCGTTTAACTGTGCTACACTGAGAATGATAGACAAGGGCATTTCTAGTTTTTGAGACTTCAACAAAAAGTCTGTCTGTGTCTATTTTTTGGCCGAGAGACAGATAGATGTTTTTTGTCCGAGATGAGTTTCGTTTGCTTTGTCAGTGAAGTGCGGATTA